ATTCATGTTTGCGTAATTTTATTTCGCTTCTTTGCTTAGTAGGGAAATTTGTCTTACCGCGTAAAAATATTTTAGTATCCTCTTAGTTTCAAGGCTTACTTTTTCTATAAACTATTATTAATTATTTTTAAGTCTTGAAGTTTCTGAAATCTATGAAAACAAATATTTTTACTTTCATTTTTAATATACTGGTAAAACCGGTATAAAATATCTGAAAAAACACCTCGGTAGTTTTAAGGTAAGCATACTCTCTTGTATCGAACTCAACTCAACAACTTTGTTATTGTTTCTATAATTATTGCTTATAATGTTTTTTGGCGGATTAAAAACAACTAATAACAAATTAGCACCTTTCATCCGAATTTCGATAATGGCACTAGCAAATATAATTTTCTCTCAATCGAAGTGCATAACTTCGATTTATATACTCTCCGGTTATATTGAAAGCTACAAAAAGTGCTTCAACTCACTGAACAAATGCGAAAGCCTAAATTTCACAATCAAGATGGTAGGGAGAGCTTTATAAAAGTAGATGTAAAAATTGGAAATTGTGCCTTTAAGCTATTTCATCTCACGTCTAAAAATAGTCAATCGAATCGAACTATAACTTTTCAATGAGCCAGACACCAAATATGTGGATTCCAGTGCACATGGGTAATATTTTCCTGAGCATATCGGTCAATTTGTGAAGTCTAGTATTGAAATTCTTAAGAATATTTGTATGCTGACAGCATGCCAAACGCATTAAATCAGGGCAAAACTTCCTCTTGTCCCCATATACCTAATATACAGATTTTCAAATATCCGCTGGATTTTATACCAGATATAATTATTAATCTGTGAGATATTTTAATGAAATTCAGAGAATATATATTTCTGGAAATGATATTTCGTTATACCAAAACTGAATGAAATAGGGTTAAAATATTCCCTATCGCACATATACCTTTTGTAAGAAAATTTACAAGAATTATGTATATAAGATTTTCAAACTTCCGGTTTTCTTCGGTGGATATTTTTCCAATGTATCCGATATATTCAATTAAGCTTGTATAGAATTTATATAATATTTCGGACAAGCAAAATGTAGTAATGAAACTGAGTGAGTCTATGACTTATAATATACATAAGTTAATTAAAAACCAAATTTGATTGTAATCCATCCAGTTTCTTGGAATAATGCATGTTGAATTGTTTCGCAACATTTCTTAATATAAAGTGCTGCAACTTCTGAAAGTATTTGGTCGTCTTTGATCCTTTCAAATTGCGAGAGTATAAAATATTCGGTCACAACCGAACTTCGCTCTTCCTTACTGGTTTTTGCATGCATTTAATTTTTATGAATTATTTTAAATTTTATCAGTTAGTTTTAGTCAAGCGACGCACCAATTTTTGATGTGTGTCTAAATTAATACGCCTTAATTACCACTTTCATAAGCATTGAATAAAATTAATGATTTTTTATGATGTTTTGTAACACCTAAAAGCTATAAAATTCCGAAATGCTATATTTCATTAAGTTTAGTCGAGAAGCTCTCTATCAAATTCGAGCTTTTTAGTTGAGTTATAACGCCTGCCCCAACCCCCTCAGATTAGCAAAGTACACGGTTAAAAATTGTCATTACGTCCTCTTAACAGCGTTCGAAAATCGGTTTCAAGAAAGCTATCGAAATTTAAAACTTAGTATAAATAGATATAAGACAATTCTGATCCAAAAATGGTTGAAATAGGGTCATATGTTCTACTAACCGCCATATACTGAACAAGAATATATCGATTATTCCAGTTCCCATTATATCGTAAATATATGTAAGATATATTAACTAAAATATAGGAATATATTTTTAAATAAGACATGGTTCCGTAAATGAAATAGATGAAATTAATTTATATGCCTATACTGTATTACTATATACATTACATATTAGATCTGAACTTGTCTCATTTTCCGTATGTCAATCATTGTTTAAAATGTTCCTTTGTGTTAATCGCAGTTTTGTCTTAATGTTTGCCGTACTAATCATAACAAATCATTATAATTGCCGATCATTTGATTACTAAAATAATAAGTTCATATTCTAACTGCCGAGAGGAAAAATGCTCATTATTCATATTTATTATTTGCTTTGTATTTTTTCCGCTTTACACAAATCTGTTTTGATGCCAAAGTCATTCGGTTTTAAATGTTTCAGTAGAATTTTAGCTTTGTTTTTGCAATAATTAGCAGTTAATTATTACAAATGGTTGTAGAAGCGAACGTAAATACAAAGTAATAATTCTAGTCAATACTCGAATATTGTTTCATAATTATTATTTAAGCGTTCTGACATGCAAGAATGCTAATTTAGACACGCTAGAGAAACTAAAGCATATTTCTGTTTGTTTATAGGTAGAAGATATATATACTTGTACATATGTGTGCTTCCATTCTGAAACTTGTTAGTAAATGCTGAAGGTAGGTTTCATGGCCAAGAGATAATAAAAGTACAAGATATACAGGCAAAAGTGCTAGAAACTATTCTTGAGTTATTCCTGCTTTTTTAGCAGCAAAAGACATTCTAGATATAGAATTTGGAAAAATATGGCTTAAAGTCTTGTGAACGGGTGTTAGTGACTTATTCGTAATTTGTTGTTTGAAAGAATCATTATTTTTCCTAATGTTAGGATATGTTAGGTTAGGTATTAAGGTTACTCCCCGAGTTGCAGATCACACTTGTACAGCTCTGCACAAGTCATTTGTCGTTCCAAAGATGGATATAAATCCTCATATATAGCCAAACCGTCTTCAAACTATTACAAAACTACTAAGACCATTAATTTCGATTCCATTTAGTTTTCTTAGATTGCTAAAGGTATGTGATTCAATGTCTTTGCATTTTAGCAACAAACTCAAGAGAGCCAAAACAGAAGTTTCGAGATAATTCTATCAAACCACTTCAAAAATTAGCACCTGGCAAGATTTCTAGACAGGGATCAGTTAGAGCCTCTTATAACAAGGGAGCTTACATCCATGTAATACAGGTAGTTGGCCAAACAGTGCCAAATCTGGCATTATCATTATCGATATCTGGCATTTATACACTTTGCCAGATATCGATAATATTCAATATTCATATTTTTTATTTAAAAAAAATCTCCATAAGCGTACCTACTTCTTATACTCTTTACACACCTTTTATTACAAATCATGTAAAAATAAAACCATGAAATTTAAGTTAACTTATGCCAATTTCATTTACTAACCGGTCCCATTGACTGTCTGAGAATTCACAAATAAATGCTTATCGATATACATATGTATGAAAAAATGACAAATTTAAAAAAAAAATCATTCATAAATTTTAATGAGCTTTGCAAATGTTAATAATATCAGTAAGGGAAAATTTTAATTTTGCGATAAAATCGTTGAAAATAGAACGAAGTAAAAGTGAGGAAATAGAAATTAAGGAACGTATACATGAATATAGTAAATAAATATATTTATATATTATACATGAATATCAGAATATATAACAGAGCGTTAGTTGAAGCTTACTAAGTGCTTATAAGGAGCCAACCTCAAGCACTGATTCTAATCAAAAAGTATATTGTGGCTTAAAAGCACTACAAGTATTAACAACTCGACTTATCAACTAACTTAATCACAGAATATTTAGTTTGTCGATTTAAATTCACTGAACCTGATGAATGGAAATTTTATAATGAACTGTGTCATAGATGAGATTTTAGAAGACGATGGAGAATCTAAAGCGCAATAAATTAATGATCTCATTCTGATTTAATTTCAAATCGCCGATCAAGTTAATGAATATCGCTAAACTTTCCAACGACTTACTTATAAAGAACAAGTAAGGAAGTTCTAAGTGCGGGTGTAACCGAACATTTTATACTCTCTCAACTTGCAAGGATGAAAGCCCGGGAAATTACTTCAGGTGTTGGCAAAAATTTATATTGAAGGAAGTATTGATCCGATTTCACCCATTTTCATACTGTCGATAGAGGTGCTAAAAACATTTGTTGTCAGTAAATTTTGCCGGTGAAAACCCATATCTTGGGATCTGCTTCAACCAAATAATGTTCTGCTCATATTTCTATGTTATAGTGCGAAAATGGGCGAAATCGATTACAACCACGCCTATTTCCCATATAGCATCATTTTACATTCCATCTGATTTTTTCACTTTCCACTATGCAAATCAAGCAACAATGATTGTATCGGGTTAAAACTTTGCGTTTAAAGTGTGCCACCTTGTGACCAAAAATTGTCTAAATCGAATCGAAATGGTTCAAGCCCCTAGGTACTGAATATGTGGACCCCAGTGCCTATATTTGACTTTTTACCGAAAATATCGATCAAAGTGTAAGATATATAATTGAAATTCATATAATAAAATAAATATATGAAACTCTCGATAATAGTATGTTTTTGTGTCAAAAATGGGTTGAGTATCAAATGTTCGATTATACCCGAACTTAAAACATCCTTACTTGTTTTCATTGAAATTTATTTTGTGTACTTTTTAAATATGAATAAGCAACATGGATACTAAAAATATTAACTCCTTTTTTTCTTAATTTCCACACAACGTTCCTAATTCGAGCCTCTAGACTAGAATATACACTTAGACCAGAAAATATCGTTTTTGGATCAGTGTTGTGATATAGAGATTCAATAAATTAAATTAACGTTTATGTAATCTGTCCAATATGGCAATATGTAATATCCGATTGGGATTAACAAGGAATCTACAAGGAAGACCAGACTAATTCCTCAATAATCAACTCAATATCTTTTCATATCATTGAATGTTTTTGCTTAAGAGTATCAATAAAAGTTATACTAAAATAATTCAACTACTATTGTCATCGAAAATAATCTGAGTTTTCAAAACAACACAAAAAAGTTGGTACTCTTTCAACTACTAGTATATTTCAATATTTTTAATTGGTGTAATTTTCAAAAGAATTGCAAAGGAAAATCGCAAAAAAAGCTCACTTACCTTTCCATTGCGAATCAGTTTGGCCAAATCGACGGCGGGTATTTCCAGCAGATGACTCCGTATGGGCGGCAACTTTTTGCGATTCACTTTGATGTTGGTGAAGCGACTGTAGGGTACAACGAACCAACTGAAGACGATCATGGCCGACCGCAGAAAGCGCCGCATGATGTACCCCATAATCCTGGAACAAAGTAGCACAGCAATTTTGGCGATTTTATGTTAACACGTTTCACAAGTAAAATATAACAACACCAACAGTAACTAAAACAACTTAAAGTTTATTTATATCTATGAATATAGGTCACACGACACACACATATGCGATGTGAAATGTATGTGGGTTTGGCTGCTTTTTTTCTTAGCTTTACGTTTTTCCTTCTCATGCAACTTTTAAACGCTGTTTGTTGTTGCTAGCTTTTTTTTTTGTTAAATATTTGTATGTGATTTTCGTTTCTTAAACTTTTGGCAAAGTTTCTTTCGCTTTGTTTTTGTTATTGAATTTTTTCAATTTATTTTTTTACTTCATTGCAATCGGTTGCAATTACAAAACCAGTACACAGGCGCACTCATGGCTACTTTTTACACAGAAATGCTTTTGTATGCGCGTTTAGTATGCTTGTGTGAGTGTCTGTATGCTTCTGTTGCGTAGCTGCGTATGCATAGCAGGCATACTAGCGCTTCAATGATGGACACAAACACAAAAGCACTGGCTTAGTTACACCAACACAGCTGTATATATAATATGCATATGTATATGATTACAACAACAACACAGCAAATATGGATGCTAGTTGTGCTGCAGTTGTGAGTAACGAGCGTTCAGGTGCTTGACTTGGCCAAAGACTTGGAAGTGGCATGGCGTGGTGCACTCGTACGCGGCCCGGGCTGGCTGGCGATCGCTGTTAGCGCGCTTAATTGCTCACCAGACATCGGTGAAGAATTGTGCAATATGCCACAAGCACACACACACACATGCATGCAGGCAAGTAAGATGCTTGAAGATTTTGCGGATAAATGATTCTTCGCTGCAATTTTGGTTTGCCGTGTTGTTGTTGTGTATTTGCGGTTAACGTTGTTTACATTAAATTTTTCAGCATTTTGCTTTGCTTTTTATTTGCTTATGTTCAGCACTGTTGCACAATCGACAAATTGGTGGCATGTAGCACAATGTTCCTTAACTTGTTTCAGCTTGAGCGCATTGTTTTGGCTTTAACTGTGTGTTAGTTGGTGTGCTGCCGGGGAGTGGCAACTGCAGTGACAGCTGTTGCGGCTCCGGCCAGCTTGTCGGAGGCCTTGTTGCAATTCACTTGCAACAATTTAACAAGTTCCTGCAGTCGCTATAGCAAACTGCTTGGAATTTCTCAACAAATTAGTAGTTGTTATATATTTATTTTTATTCTCTACTAGTATACATTTTTCTTGCTTTTGTTGTTGTAAAATATTCGCAGCGCTTCAAAGTATTCAAAAAAAAAAAAATGTTTTTACGTTTGTATTTGATTTATTTGTGCATTATTTAATGAAAATTGGTAAAATTATTATTATTTTTAGCTCTTTTAATAATTATAATAATATTTGTTTATTTTTCAGTATTATATATTCTTCATTTGTTACATTTATGCACAAATTCGCTATAAACAATGTTTTCGTAATTTTTCTTTAGCTTTAAAGCTGCCCGAAACACACATTCTCGACCCAAATTGACACACGAATTTCGCACACAAACACTAGCGTTTATGGAAAACTTGTTTTGTGTATTATTTTGTAATGCACATATGTATGTAAGTTTTTGGCAACAGATAATATATAATTATTATTATTTTTACTGATATTCCATTCCAATACACTTTTTATTAGCATATATTTTTATATTGCAACATTTATATATTTTAGGTTTTTTTTAAACCACCGTTATTTTTCACTTCAATTGAATTTGTTTATGTTGCGCATGCGCAGCGCCTTTGGCTAGCAATGCGAAAGGCCAACGCGTTCGTTGCTTAAGTCTTTTGTTTCACTTAGTCTTCGTTAGCAACAATATCATGCAATTTCTTGCAATTCTTTTAAGAATTACTTTTGCAGCAAACGACAAATAATTGAATTATTCACTTATAGATTGCAATTGATTGAAATATAAATACACACACACACACGCGCGTACGCTGACACGCACAGTCACGGCTAGGTAACACTTTGTATTCGGTCTTCTTCGCTTGTACGCGCTGCGCAAAATGTCACACCATTAACGCTCGAAATATGCTGAGCAAATAATTTCTGCAACAACTTGGCAATATCATTTAAGCGCAACTCTCTCAGCAAAAGCCAGTAGCAGAGCGAGATTCGGCGACGCTAAGCTCAAAGGGTTACAGCTTACAACTTACAGCATTCGCTTTTCGCACAAAACACACCACAACAACTTGTTTGGCGCCACCAACTCGGCGTATTCGTGAGCATGATGTGAGTGAGCTGCACTGCATTGCAAACGGTTTTGAGTGAAAGGCACGCGTTTATTATGAGTGCTTTCAGCGATTTCAAAGCGTTCTGTGTTAAATTATAAATCGTATTGTCTTCCAATTGCCGCTTGAGACACACTCAAACTTGCAATTAGCATTAGCTAATTGTGTCTCTCCTTTGCGCCTTCTCTTTTAATTCGCTCTCGAGCTGTTTTTTCAATATTTCCCAGCGCGCTGCTTCTCTTTGGTGAGCTATTGTCTCAGTTATTGTTTCGCTGCCAGCTGATAAGTCATTTGTTATCTCTCATTCTACTCCGGACAAGCGCTTCTGGGCGGCCTGCTTTCATCGCATCGGACACTTGTTGCGCTAAACTCTGTTTATGATAATTGGAATCAATGCACTTTGTGTTTTTGTGCATTTGTTGCTAGTGTGTTTGCTTTGAAGATATTTTTATAAATAAACTATTTCCTCTCATATATTGGCACATACATATGCATGTAAACTTTGTGCGCTTGAGCTTATCGATAAATGTAGTATGGGTTATGTTATATACTTTTATCAGTTTTAAACTTGTGGGACCAGGGATTTTCACTCTGACCTATTTGCCTTCAGGGTTCACATAGTTTCAAAATTGGTCTTGTCTATATACCTAAGGGTCACAGTCAAAGGTTTTATTTTATAGCTCTCTTTGTGCTCACAGTTAGTCGCCTCTTTGGTTCGGTCTCAATGGGATTACATGATCAACTATTTATTCGGCCGTTATTAAGTTGCTGTAGTATGTGCTATAAAGTGCACGAGGCTCTGAGCTCGCTGAGTAGTCATAGCCACAGTCTTAATAATTTTTGGTTGATTTGACATAATCCAACTACAGAAGAGTTTCTTTTTCCTCTTCAAATATATAATATTAAAGGTTTTCATTACATCTTTGAAAATACTGTCCTTTCAACAAAACGAAATTACATCTTGATTCAAAATTAAATCTACAGTATTGAGAACTTTAATTTTTTAATCAATATGGGGTCATTTATAATAACTTACATCGTGAACGTGTAAATTTCATCATAAAACTCATCATTCTATAACATAATATAGGCACCACCACTAACGAACTCTACGGTATATATATTTTGCGGATAATATTCCCCCAAGAACCGGATAATCGGATTTTTCCACTTTCTATAAAATTTTGTTTGCAGAGAGGGCTTTTCCCTACTAAATAAAGTTTATACTTTTTCACCAAAATTATTTCGAACTTTTTAATACGTTTGCTTTTGGAAAGCTCAGATGACCAATTGGGTACTCGGTAGTTAGAGACAAAATATTTCGATTATCGATCTTTTAATTGGTCATGATGACGTTTCGCAGAATTTGGATTGAAATGTACCAAGGAACGCTTTGAAGACTAAATACATAAATTTCAACATATTATGTGTATGTAGATTTCAAAAGCCGTCTTTTTTTAGTTTCGCAAATCTCGAGAATGTGGAAATCAAGAATTTTTATTTCTGTAAAAATAAATTAGTTAATCTTCCTTGTGTTTAGTTTATTAAAAGTAAACTATAAAACAAATAAAGAGAAAGTTAAAAAAACCTACAGTTGAAAATATCTCTAAATAGTGTTGCCACACGTTTATTTCTTTTATTTAGTTAAAGCTATATCTAATATGGTGAAAATTATTTAGTGAAGATTTTGTGATTTATTCGGATCTGTTTCTGACCTTTTTGGAACATTTACGGGATAATTTCAGAGCCACAATAAGATCATAACGGAATTTTTTGGTAGCGTTTCCGTACCACTATGGCACTATTTAGAAAATGTAAACCTCATTGAAAACCCAAACCTTTAGTATGCCCTTTGAACTTTCCCTTTTCCCAATTCGACTAAAAAGTCTGACATCTATGGTGTTTATTTATTTAATGTTAATTCTCTTGAAACTGCTCAACAAATTCTTGTTATTTGCACTTTGAACTATAATATTTTAACAATAAAATCTTGATTGTAATTAAAATTTGTCATCAACTACAATTATAGTATCTTATTAACTTGTAATACATAGTAGGGCATAAGGCCACTTTGCATCATTACCATTACTCAGCAATATTTTTATTAAAATCAACCGAACTATAGAAACCACTTATCATCATTGTTTTATTGCTGTGGAAAGGTATAAAAGCATCCATAATTTTTACTACCGAATCACTTAATACAAATCGAAATACGTATATTCTTGATTCAGTTTATTGAGATATCTTGCGCTCACACCGCAATATACGATAAACGGTAGGTATGAAGGGATGTGAACCAATCACCCAACTCACTAACTAATACCGGTATCTACGTCAACCAGAATCACGAAAATTATTATAATCGATTGTTTTATAGAAGGGAATCGGGAAGGTATGAAACCGTTTTCTTCAATTTTAGCATCAAACTACAGACTAGTCTGCAATAAGATAATATATTTATATATATTTATACGACTTAATAACAACCATAGGGGGAGGGGAGGAAATAATTATATAAGGTACACTGAGGCTAGATGAAGGCCTGAACTGAATGCATTTACTTTTCGCATGAAACTAATTATATGCTCGAGAAAATATTTCCGCCCAAATGTTTTAAAATAACTTACATATTGAACGATATTTTCGACAGAATTCGAATAAAGAAAATTGTTATAGGTAGTACATGGGGACTAGAGTAAATCATCGACCAATTCCACTAATAATAGGT